TACTACCTTATCTAAATATCTTGGACTAAAAACTTATCAAACAAAAATCCATATTTCATGCAAGAACCCGAGCTATGACTTTTCCCGTTCTATCATTCGGGCCAAAACATAATTCAAAGGTTTAGATCTCATAACCATCATTCCCTCCTTCCAGAAGGTATGAGCATTACCTCCTAAAGGCGCAAAACCTTTACACAATCGACTTCTGGCCCACGATCCTGAAATAAGAAATGATGGGAAGCAGGATGTTACATGAATGAAGCTTTTTGTTTAAGTTAAGCTTTTGTTAAAAGCTAAAAACTGGAAACTTTCAAATGCTCGCAACTAATAATAGTCTAGAGCATACATATTGGACCACATATATTTATGTGTAAGTTGTGTATGATATTTGTATTTTTTTCATCTTTTATTGGTTTTTGGCTACTAAATTTCTGTTGTATGATGTAACACATGTGAGTGTTTGTATTCAGTGTATGTATGTTGTATAATTGAATTCTTTTGCCTTGTATTTGTTCACCCAATTTATTGCAATAGGCAGGTACATGCCCCGACAATCAGGGGCGACTTTGAGGGGTGTGCAAGATAGGCGACCTAACATGGTCAATGTCATCAAGAGGACCATTTTTCTACATACACATATGTAGGTTTAAGTTTAATGTTATAGTTATATTGTTTACAAAGCCAAAGAGGAAACACATAAAAGCACACATTTAGCACATAATTTAAGTATCAATTACAAGTAATCTTCAACTTTAATTCCTTAATTGTTATGTTTTTAAGTATCATTGGCGTAAAAGTTATCGTATAATTAATGGATTTTGCTTTTATACGACAAATTGTATTTAGGAGGCTTATTTTTACTTTTTTGCACATGAACTTTAAAATCAATGAATTAACTTACCGACCGATAATAAAATAAAAAATCAATTGATTTTTTTTCTATTCGGGGGGGGGGGGGGGGGGGGTACATGGGAACCCTCAACAGTCAACACCATCCAACACACACCACCTATCTTCTCGGAATTTATTTTTGCTGAAACATTATTTCCGGACACCTTGCTCAAAAGCATACATATAGATAGGGTTGTAAATGAATCCAACGAACACAAAAAAAAGTTTGTTCGTTTAAGTTAACCGAGCAAATGAACGAAAAAAGAACGGGTTTTTTTGTTCATGTTTGTTCATCTAAAATTTACATTGTTAATGTTCGTGAACATGATAAACGAACGAACATAGATCAATAAACATAACTTAACATGTACGAACATAAACAAACATATAATATAGTAATGTAATCAAACACAATTGAACATATATAAACATAAAATGAACTTAAATGAACAAACATAGACAAATGTAAATGAACAACATAAACAAACGTTCATGAACATAATTGAACGAATGAAACCATTGTTCATGTTCGTTCGTTTAAGTAAACGAATGAGAATTTATATTTATATTCATTCATTTATTAAATAAAAGAACGTAAACAAACTTTCCGTCGAACAGTTCACGAATAGCTCACTTCATTTACAACATTACTTACATATAAACGAAGACTATGTTTGAAACTCATTCCGTATTTGTGATTTCATTCCTAATAGACCCTTATATATGAAAGTCATTTGAGCCTGAAACATCCAACAAATCCCATCCTTGAAGTTAAGAAAACCCACCCTCCATCCCTAAACATGTTATTATCCCACTTCTATTTTAAGCATATCCTTAGTTTATTATACCCATTACTATCCCATACAAAGCCCATAGCCCAATACTATCCTTATCATATTTGAAGTCCATTGAGCATTATTCAATTTGATTTTTTTTTCTTACAATTCTAAGATTTTATTGAAATCAGTAGTTTTAAACTGTGAGATTTATCAACGACCGAACAAATCATAAATATTTCTTGTTGTATTTTATTTATTTATTTATTTTTTAAAACGCCTTACACATATATACACTATTCTAGTCCTATAACCCAAATGTTGAACCGGTTATGTTGACCCGCTAATTATTCTTTATTTCAAAAGAATCGTAACCAATAAAAACCGGTATAAATGAATTCTGCTCTTTTTTTTTGAAAGAGAATTAAGCCCCTTTACCGTTTTGACTGCCTCTAAGCATATCCCTTATGCTCACCTAATTACAAAAAGCCATCTTGCCCTAAATTTTATAAGCACTAAGCACCTATGTCTTTTCATTGTTGAAGTACTATAACACTTGAATAGAAAATTACTAGATTTCCACAAATATATCAAAAAATCATATTGTATTTTGTTATTTTTGTATGTTTTTTAATACTTCTAATAATAGTGATGTTGATGAGATGTACTATTAAGGAACTTATACTATTCAATAGATATTACGGGTGAGACGAATTAAAAAGATTTCACGTGTTTATGTATTAAATTTGTTGATTATTATTAAACTCTATCATATATTGGTATTTATGTAATTCTTATAAATTTACAAAAAGATATATAAATATAATAAGCACGGACCACTTGAGTTCCGAGATAGTGGAGGACAAGATGAATTTTAACAATTATTAACTACTTGCAGTAAAGGAGGACTTGTCCTCCAAATCATAGGGGGTCTGGGAAGCATCTTTCATTTAGAATTTGATTTTTCTTGAAGGCCATAATTTTATTAAAAACTACAAATTCTAGATAAGAAAATATTACAAACAACACCAATATCAATAAACACCAGTACCAATAGTTAAAGTTGGATTTTAAAACAAACCAAATTAATATATATATATATATATATATATATATATATATATATATATATATATATATATATATTATATATATATATATATATATATATATATATATATATATATATATATATATGAAGCTTAAGAATATTAAACTGGGTATTTTTTTGGCAGAAATAGTCCCTGCACTTTGCTTCTCATTCTTTACCTATTTGACATTTTTAGTCCTTGCAATCAATATTTTTATATTTTTTAGGAACCTTTTAATATTTAAAGTTTGGCCACAAAACTTTAACGGTTTGACAATTTTGATCCATTTTCTAAAAATTTGCTAATTCCTATCCCTTTAATTCTTTAACCATTTTGAAACTTCTGATCCTTGCAGTCAAAACTTTTACATTTTTTCATAAAAACATGAAAAGAACGGTCTGGGGAAAAGTACGGTATTTTCACCCTTGCACTTTCTACGTCTATCATATTTATCGATTCGGAAACAATATTGAAAGCTTCTGACCCCCGCGTAGTAGGGGTAACATTTCTAGTTAATATTAAACTTGTATAACTGGAAACACTGTGTTACCTGGAAACACTTTGTTACCTGGAAACACTGCTCCATTACCATCTTTTATTACCATGTCATTTGTTTTATTTATGTATTATCAGTTTTAACTTATAATCCTATCTAATTTTACCGGTTAAAACAAAAATAGACAATATGTCTAGTCGCGTAGTAGTATAGTAAAGTGAGGAGTTGAACACAGGGAACGAAAATTTTAACAAGAAAATAACTGATATTAATTAAACAAAGTGAAATAAACTATGATGGGGGTGGGGGGTTAATCTGATATTATAAGTTTGGAAAAACATAAATATCAACTAGCAATTAACTCAAATTATTTTTAACTAAAGCAAACAAACAAAAAACAATTTTAATTCAAAATTAAAAAGTACTTTCATTTAGTTTCGAATCCCCCTTTTTTCTATGTTTGATTTCTATTGAGTTAAATATGTTGGTTACCAAATTAAGAAGTTACTAGTTATCATGTTATGATTCTAAGTATTATCAATTCATGAACTACTATACTATGTAATGATCAAACACAAGTTGGACACTTAATTGATTTTAAAAATTATTTAGACTATAAATGATAAGATTTTAAAGATTATTTATAAGCAAACTTTTGATGTGATGTATTGAAATTAACAAGTTTTGTTTAGAGGCAAGATTCATAATCAGAAATTTCTGTGTTCCCTTCATCTTCAGAAAAACAATTTTGCAAGAGATTTTTGTGGTGTGATGTGATTTTTGTAACCCTCCACAAATAACTGAAAATAAGTCTTTATAGGTATTGATTATGACAGTTAGAAACTGTCAAAAACCGAAAATAACTACCATAATACCTGTCATTAAGTAATTATGAATTTAATAAAATAAAAGTTAATTCCATAATTAAAAAATATTTAATTCATCACGAAGACCCCAAGAGCCCCAAGGCCCACGTCCCATCTTTTGACCATAAAATATTCTCTTGATGTTAGCCTAATTTGAGTCCAGTTAGGCTATTCCAACACCACAAACCAAGCCCATCAATCTTAGCTCAATGATTTTCTATATTGATAAACTAATGATGCTTAAATTTATTAAGAGGAGCTTTTTCTTTCTTGCTTCCAATGTGGGACAAGTCCCACAGAGTAAATTGGTAAACAAAGTTCTAACAATACCTAACGTTTTTTATTTAGACTCTAAAAATACCCCACATTTGAATAGAAAACAAGATAACTTTCACTACTAGAAAAACAGCCTTTTACGACGCTCATTGTGCGTTGTAAAACGCTCAGACGACGCGCAAATGCACGTCAAGAAAGGCCCTGTCATAAAGAGAGACGACACACATTTACAACACGCATTTATGATGCGCATTTACGACGCGCGGTTATGACACGCAATGCGTTTCAAGGAAGGCCCTGTCATAAAGGAAGACGACACGCATTTGCGTGTCGTAACCTTACGATGCGCGTGTTTATGACACACAATGCGTATCAAGGAAGCCCCTGTCAAGAAAGGCTATGTCATAAATGAAGATCACACACATTTTTGCGTATCATAATTTAAATGTTCTAAAATAATATATTTATATATTTATTAATTTTTAAATTAAATTTGCATTTAATGTCTCATAATAGAAATAAAAAATCATATACAAAAAATACAATCCACTGCGTAAAATTTAATGTCATACAATTCTATTTCTAACAATATCTAAGTTTGCATCTAATCTACTCTGTACATCGAATTCCAACTAAGTAAAGTTGCATCTTGCCTTTCATAATTCTTTAAGACTAATGCTCTAAGCAGCTGATTATATGGATAAGCAGTTATACATTGGCCCAAATCTTCAATTGCATTGATACGAGCTTGGTTTAGGATATGAATATCTAGAAAACAATTAGACAAAAAAAAAAGAATTATAGGAAATACCATCTAATTTTTAATACTAAATAGAATTTATACCCAGAGAGGAAAAAGGTTGTACTTTTATCTGCATTACATATCATTCCTATTACGTCCTGAAGACTTATAGTTGTAAGCTCACCCAATTTATCTGCACCAATAGAATGTTAAGATGAAAAATCAGATTATTAATAATAGAAACACATGCAAGTTCGTTTCTAGTTCTTTATCACATCAGGTTTCTAGCCTATATACTCTGTTTAAACCATTTGTTTAGATCAATAAAGCAAGTATTTCGCTTCACCAAAACTACAACATTCAACTTTGAAAAGCTCAAAATAGTTGGAAACAGATGTAACAGCAATACCTAGGATAAAACCGTCATATATGAATATTATTGAGGTTATGGTTAAATATCTACCTTTCCCCATGTTTGTTTCTACTAATTCCAACATATAACTATCCTGCCCAAAATAAGTAGATAATGATTTAAAAGACTGATTTCATATATAATATCTTGGCTGGTTGTCCAAGTTTCATTCACAGGTTTTCCAAGTTTCAGGTTGGGAAGAAACACAAACAACAACACATAGTATGTATCAAAAAACAAGATAGGATCCAATCATTCTATGACACAAGGAAAAATATCCCTAGAGAACTATAAAAAAATATGAAACAAATGAATGAAATTGCATTGCTATTCCTTTAATACTTACTGCATAGAGTAAGACATGGCCATAATCCATAGTTTTGAAGGACATTGATGTCTCGCTATGATGCACATATTAAAAATAAAAAAGAACAAAACTTAGTAACATATGGACTTATCTAGCTTGCTGAAATAGACATACAAAAGATTTTGCTGTACTAGCTTGCTGAAATACACATACAAAAAATATCAGGAAAATACCAAAATTCCCTTGTGTGAAAGTAGCTGGATTACTCGCGTCTTTCTTCTCTTGAGGCAAAAGAAAAGGATCCCTGACACTAAGTCCAGCAATAATTGTAAGAATAGGATCAAAGCAACGAAAAAAAGCACCCATTATCAGCATTTTCCCTAATTTCGAATCCAATGGAAGTATTTTGGACCTAGAACAAATTAAAGTTCTATCATTTAGCAATTTGAATCATTCATTAAGATTCAATTCATCAAGAACAGTTAAGACTTACAACTTATGGCTCTGGAGGCTGCAAAGCAGCTGATAAAAACTCTCCAATACTTCCAACTTCCCAACTTATTATTTGCAAAGAAAGAGAATTTAAAGGAGTTCTTAAAAGCTCGGGTAGTTGATATTCAGAAAAAGTATTATAAACACATTGAGGGTAAAGCAACAGAAATTAGTTAACTTACAGCAAATGGCTCTGGAAACATTCCCCTGGTTGCACACGTCTTGCCCTACCCCTCCTCTAAACCAACAAAAAAAGCAAGATAGAAATTAGTCAACTACGTTGACCAACAAAGTCAAAGGGTAAAAAGGTAACTTACTTGGCGAGCAGATGCTTGTGATATGCATGAAGGCAACAAACAAGGAGTGTTTTTCATGGCATCAAAGGGTAAAAAGGTAACTTACTTAGAGAATCACGAGCTTTTGAGCTATAATTATCAAAGTTTGATTGAGTTAACGCATTCTAACATGTTCACATCAAAATTTAAACTTGTTTTAGTCTTTAGAATCAAAAGTTAAATTAGAGTTGACTTAATTTTACCAGAATCCAAATAAAGATTACGTCAACAAGTGAAGTACGAAGAGCCTCCCCTGTCACAACCTTAATCTCATGA